CAGTTTGATTATGATTTATGAGTATCTTCTCAGAATAATTAACACAACAGGTGGCCGCATAATAATTTTGATTACCCAGTGGTTCATGAAATCACAACAAAGCTGACTTCATTTTCTGAATAAGAGAAGGACAACAATTAGAAATTCAACAAAGAAATGCTTTTATGCCACCGTTCTTACCTTTTGTCCTTCACACAGAAGACTTATTTAAGAGGCCTGTGTTCCCCTTAGATACCAGGAAAAAGTAAGGAACTTCTACTCTGTGAATATAAGAAGACACTTTTTCAGCATCACATGACTAGAATTATTTTTCTTTCTCTACTGAAGTCTTGATTAATTGAGCTATGTCAGACCTGTCCACCAGATCACCTTTTAGCATCCCCGTTTTGACAATGGCTGTTTCCCAGGGAAGAATTGATGATCAGAGGAAGTTCGGGACTGCATTTCACTGTTTGTAAAGCATGGTGAAGTGATCCATTCGACCAGTCATATTTGTAAACATTCCCTCCAAAGGATACAAGCCCAACTTGAAAATCCTCCCCTGCAAAAAGCTTATTTTTTATTTTCGAAAAGCTTATTTTTAGTTTCAAGCCTTCTCATAGGAATCTGTCTTTTTGAAAGTGCTATTTTTACATGACCCACAGCATTTTTAACTTTCTTCTCCAACTTCAGTTTTGTGGGAGATTTTCTCCAAAAGTCACCACGTGGCCTTTATTCAAGACAATGGTGACCTGCACTCTAGAGATTATAGTCCAAACACCCCACTCTCCTGGGGATTGACATTTATCTCCAATGATTCCATGGTGCGTTTGAGGAAAGTGCCTACCTTGAAGAACACCTGATGCTGGTTTTTTGAGAGACTAAATAAAAATCAAGACAGGTAAGCTTTATCCCCCACTACTCTCCATTTAATCTCTGCCGAAAATGGACCTATGTGTTACTAATGAGATGGAAGCACACAGGCCTCTGAATATGTGACAGGCCTGCCTACCACCCAGTGCTGGGGCGGGGGAGGGGGTAGTGGGGAGGGCACTCCCTTGCATATGAAATGAAGTTTTGTAGGGCTCCACAATGGTAATATTACAGGCTTATCATTTTTTTTTTATAGAGGCATGTTTTATTTATTTATTTGTTTGTTTGTTCGCTTTTGTTTATACATGCACTGGGTACAGTCAGAAGCGTGGGAGGGTAAGAGAATTCACTAGAGCCAGAGCGGGGAGCAGAGCAGGCAGAAGGACCGAAGTACACTGCTGAGGGGAGCAGCGGGCGGCAGGAGAGGTCTGCGCGCCATGTGGGACCCTCCTTAGGTGGCTGGGGAGCAGCTGGGGATCGAACCGGCACCACAGAGTCCGCGGGCAGCTTCGCAACCCAGCGCTCAACCGCTGCGCCACCGGGGAGGCCCTACAGGCTTATCATTTTAATTGACTTTTTGGCATATAAAAATATCCCTACAATCCTGCTTTACATTATAGTTTAATAACAGCTTAACACACATCTATGAAATATTTATTTCTGTTACATTCATATTTTAAAATATCTGATGGAGAGCCTGGTTAATAGATAAAGGAGAGTCCCTGGAATATTAAGGACCCTTAGAAGCAGGTAGGGTCCTCGCTGGAAAGTTAACGACAATTACCATGGGGATCACACATTTGAATTCTGATTTTTTAAATTCATAAAGGCTCCCTGGAACCCAAAAATGGAGACCATGGTGGGTATTTTTTCTTCCCCCACGGCCATTGTCAGCTCCCTGTTTCTGCCCTGAGAGCCTCACCAAACACAGACCTATTCCGAGGAAAGTATCAGACATACCAGAGCCACTGATGTCTGTGTAAAGGGTGATGGTGATGAGCTCTGGGAACACCCCGCCACAGAAGCCACCACATCCCCCTTTGGGTTCACATGCCCTTCAGCTCTCCACCCACCCTCAGCTTTGCAGGGGAATTTGGGAAGTTTACTTTGAAAACATGATACATGTGCGAATCATGAGGTAATTTTGGCACTTCGTTCCCCACCAATTTTTAAATTAATTATCTGGAATCAAGCAGCCGTTAATTTTGGCCATAGACTTTTTGATTAGAAGTTCTGACCCCCTTTTGCCTTTTGGCAACTCCTATACAATCCGATGACAAGCCGGGTAACCCTTGACACCTGATCCGACACAGAGTCACACTCTGGCTGGTGATCTGCCATCTTCAGCAATCCTTGGTTACCACGGGACATTCACCCCCTTTTGCCTGCCTCTGAGAAATACTGCTGCCTTCTGCCAACTGGCCTCTGCAGAAAACTTACTTCCCAGGGAAGGGAAAAATCCACCCCACAATGCCCCACTTTATGCTGTTACTTCTGTTTCACAAACTTTACACTACAGCATCGCCCATATGTTTGTGCAGTGCACACAAATGTTTCTTTAGAAAGCGCTGATGCTAATTATAAATTTAATTTGCATTTTAATTAGAATGGTAAAAAATTAAAAGCATGGCAGCTGGAGAATTTTGAACACTTAGCAGAGATTTGGTGTTAGTTGCTTCGTTTTGTCTTTATCTTTTTAAAATTATGTATACATGCAAAACAAACAGAAACAACAAAGCAAATGAGCCACATCTGACATTGCACTTCTACAGGATTTGTTGTTTCCCTCCACTCTGTTTCCTCTTCTTGCGTAGAAATAGATCCATGTGCGTGATTTTCATTGGCTTATCAGCATTTCTCATATCAAAGTTACTTAATCGAACCTCTTATTATATATTCAGCTTATTCTATTATTTCACTGTTACAACTAATGATATGATGACAATCAGTGTAAATATACCTTTAGACATATCTGATTATTTTTTTTAAGATAGTAAAATTGCTAAGTGAAAGGGCATGCACAACTTTTTGGATGTTGCCGCTTATTTCCAAATTGCCCTCAAGAAAGATTTTTCCAATTTGCGCTATCTTTGAGCACGAGTTGGCTCCCCCACACCCTTGTCAACAACAGACATTTGCATTACTTTCAGCCTTAATAAGATGTTTTCATTATTATTATATTTTTTACGTTTCCTGCATATCATTGTCTCTCTCTTTTTTTTTCTATTTTTGTCCTTTCTCACCTACTTGGTGAGAAAATGCAGGTGGTGAAACTAGAAACTGTCACTCTCTGAACTAGAAATCCTTTCTCTAGAGGCTCAAAAAGCTATTTCATAAAGAAATGTTTTTCAAGCTCTCTAATTTTAAGCATCCCAATCACCACCAGTCTGTAGTAAGCCTCAGGCCTACAAGGAGCTTCTCGCAGCCTAAGGAGAACCTGAATATATGTGGCTTTTCTTGTATTGCCTTTGGTGCCTGTGCCTTTGGGATGTCTTTGAGATGTTTGATGCTTTTTGTAGCTGGAGTATTGATCAGGGGAGCAAAAGGGAGTGATAGCGTAGCAAGAGGAAGCCTGCTTCTGGGGTCTAAAGGGTCTGCCCACACTTAAATCTCAGGAGTGTTGACACTTGTCCCAAACCTGATGCCAAAGAAAACCTTTGTCTCAGATGGAAAAGAACCACCATAATTTGAGTTCATAGAGAGCATGAGCAATATTTTGAGATATCTGTAACTCTAAAGTCATAAAAAAAAAATCTATTACTTCTAATAGTGACTAAATTCAACTAGTTTAATACTATTGTGGCTTATCATGACTGCCATTCATTAATTGAAAGGCACACTGAGTGGCTGTCTGCACTGACAGACAGACCTCAGGCTACGGGTCCTAGTAAGGAGAAGGGCATGTGCCAAGCTCTGTGCTGGGAGATTTGCAGCCCCCATAAGTGTCTCTGTGACTCACTGAGAACTCTTTGTAAACTGTCAACTCAGCATCAAGTGGCTGTTATGACCTCTTAGTGCTTACCACAGAACACTTGTACAATAGCCACATGTATTTCCCATGTGCCTTTCCAAAAGTCAGAGTGCTGGTGAGCTTTGAACCTACATAAATACCATATTTTTCAGATCATGTCTGTCCATGTCCAAGTCATGATGCCCATTATTACCTGTTCTCTAAAACCCACCTTCACCTAAACCAAAACTAAGAATTAGTTTTTAAAATTTATTTGGATGAATGTTTTTGAAATATTGAGAACAGTGTTTTTTTTTTTTTTTTAGAGGCATGTTTTTTATTTATTTATTTATTTTATTTGTTTGTTTTTGTTTATACATGCACTTGGTACAGTCAGAAGCGCGGGAGGGTGAGAGAATTCACCAGAGCCAGAGTGGGTAGCAGAGCAGGCAGAAGGACCGAAGTACACTGCTGAGGGGAGCAGCGGGCGGCAGGAGAGGTCTGCACGCCATGTGGGACCCTCCTCCGGTGGCTGGGGAGCAGCAGGGGATCGAACCTGTGCCGCAGAGGGCGCAGGCAAATTCGCAACCAAGCGCTCAACCGCTGAGCCACCGGGGAGGCCCAACAACAGTAATTTTTAAAAGGATTTCTGCTAAGACTTCTCATTTACAGAGAGAAGTGAAACAGGGCCTTCTAGTACCTCCTTCAAGGGACAGGGAGAGGCTCAGGAATTCATGTGTTCCCAAAACCAAGCCTTGAGACTCAAGGCCAACCAACCTCTGCTCTTTATTGCACACTTTTCCTAATAAAAACATATGTAACAAAATAGCTAAGATAGATAAAAATGTTTAAGAAAAAAATACAGTTCTGGAAGCAAATATGAAATAGAAACTATAGGAGACATTGTAAGTAAGCTTCCAGATCAATGTGATAAAGTTAATGGTTATTATAGAAGTAGCCTCCAGTTCACAGAAGTTTTTCCTAATAGGAAATTTAAAAGTTTTTTTCCCTAGAACCTTATACAAGAGTACAGAATGATGAGGCAGCAATTTCAGGCTCATCTCCACAGGAGAAAATGGAGATCCCTGAACCCCAACCTGAGCACATGTGTGGCCACCCCACTGTCCCCTCCACCACTGATACTTCCTCCTGAGCACACCAAGATCAACCCAAGCTTCTCCCATGTACTGTAGCTATAATTTTAGTGGAGGGGGGTTCCAATATTTGTAGACACCATTTTGAAATTATTTTATTCAGAAAGCTGAGCATGTTTTGGGCTGAGCACAGGGGCCCCAGCATCTGGACAACAGAGACAGTGTCTTGGCCTGGTTGGAGAGTTAACGAGGGCCCAGGGAGTGAGGAAGTTGGGTGCCCCTTCTGAGTTCATATGGGTGAAAAACCATCCCTCTGACCTCACCCACTGGATAGCAGGAGGGGCTGTTAGTGTGAGCTCAGAAGTAGGGGAGGAAGCTGAGGCCTCTGGCAGGGGACAAAGTTAGGGTGTCCCATGGGGCGCCATTTCCAGTTGAGGGACTGGTGGTAAGGGGAAAGGGAAAATTACTGGTGCCAGTCACTATTCACCCCTTTATGCTGGCCAGAGGAGGATCTTTGGGGTGGGGGTGGCAATTCCTGGACTCAGGAGCACTGCTGGAGGTGAAATTATGTCCCTCCTCACCACCGGAGCCAATGGGTTCTGCACCGAAAAACTCAGATGGCTTCCTCCCCTGTGAGTCTTTGGGCTCCTTCCTTGACTTGGCATCCAATCTCCTCTGTGAAGAAAAGAAAAGGGATGATCAGAGTAGGAAGGTACAGAGACATCCAGGTGGAGGGAAGGAAAGACCAAGCAAGCGCAGAGCAGAATTTTTTCCACAGGAAGATGCTCTCAACACCACATCCCAGGAAAGGGGTGCCCGCCAAGACCCTCCCAGTCACCCTGGGGACAGCATGCACCACCACGGTGGCCAACATGTGTCCCACGCTGATTAGGAAGCTGTGGGACACATTTTTTATGGACAGTGACCAGGGACTACAAGAGGCACTCAGGGGTGGGAGACTACCTAGGACAAGGAGGACCAGGGAGAGCCTCTGAAGGTGGACACTGAAGAGAGGAGAAGGCCCCAGAGGTGAGAAGCTGATGGTGCCTTGTGGGCTCAGCCGAAGGGTCTCCCCGGACTCACATTTCCTACAGGGAACAAACAAGTCATCTCGGGAAAAAGCAAGATCAAGTGAGGTGGCAGGAGCAGCTCCTGGCAAGAAGGGAGACGGACTCCTAAGTGCCTCAGGGAACCCACTCAGGACCTCCTAACAAGTGTCTTCAACCACTAGGCACACCCACCACCCCACGCCCCCAACCCAGACAGCAGCCAGATGCAGGCAATGGAAAGCGGGAAAGGAGACTTGAGGACTGCTTCTGGGGCTTCCTCTGCAGGCCCACCTACGTTCTTTCCTTCCCAGGCAAGACAGGACCCAGAGGGCCTCCAGAGAGACCCTGGGAGGCCCCCAGCTGCAGGTACATGTCATGGCTTCTGGGAACTGTTGCTGGGTGGGTTTGGGGGGAGAAAACAGGGGCATCAAGACATCTCAGTATCAGGATCCCACCTGGGACCAGCCCTGGGGCCCAGCCTCAGGTACCTGCACAGCCTCAGGCTGCCCCTGCTGGCAGCAGCTCTCCCCCAGCTGGGGGACACACCTTGGCCAGGATCCCTCCAGGCAATTAGGGAAACATGGGCTGTTTTCAGGTGCTTTCTCCCGCCCTCCCAGCACACTCAGGGACATTGGGAAGAGTCCTTTGCGCCATCCACCCTCCTTTCCAGCTGGACCCCACATTGACGGACACACACTCGAGGATAACTCACAGTAAAAGACAAAATAAAACCGGCCTCCTGCAGCATGTCTTTCCCTCAAGGAATCGGCAATTTAAGAGGAGCCAGTCCTCTGTCCAGGAACGGGAACTTTAAAGGGGCACCCCGGGCATCTGGGACCAGGCAGCACCTGGAAGGAAGGGAAAGTATGTCAGCCTGGCAGGAACTTAGCCCGGCCCCCGAGACCCCAGACAAGCAGCTCCTCATGCCCTGCCTTCCCGCACCCCAGGCTGCCGGGGGCGCCAGCATCCCAGGACGGCACAAAAGCAGCACCCTGGCTGCTGGGGAGTTCTGCACCAGGAGCTACATGGGGGAAGAGGGTGTTCCACAGCCCAAGCGCCAAGGCGCATCGTAGCCCTGCCAGGCTGCCCGGGAAGCCCCAATGGCAGCAACGGCCATGGGGGCGGGGCTCGCAGCGGCCACTCGTGGACGAGCTCCCGGGGGCGCAGTGGCTCTGGGACCAGCGAGGGGCGCCTTGGGGTTCCCGTCTCCCCCAGAGGGGGCCTGACGAGCATCCTCCTCAATGCATAAGTCCATAATGAGGAAAAGGATGGCGCTCAAATATGTGCCGTTCCTGAAAAATGAGGTGTAAGGCGCGGGGGTGAGCAGCGCAGGTTTGCGAGCAAAAAGGGGGCCCCGGTAGTGGCCGCGCAGCGGGGGACACCCTGTCCGCTGACCGCCCGGAGCCGGAGCCGAGCTCGGGCCCGGCAGCCTAGAAGCAGCCAGAAACCTGACTGAGGGGGCCGGGCCGACAGGGCTGTGTCCGCCCAGAGCACCCCCCGGCCCGACCCCTCTGAGCCCCGGTTCTGGTGACCGGCGGGCGGGCGGGCGCCTGGGAGCAGGCGCTCAGGAGGAGGGATCCAAAGGGAAGGTGACCGGGAAGGACGCGGGATGGGAAAGCCAGAAAGAGGAAAGATCACTGGGCTGCAGGACGGTGACGCTAAAGGGGGACATGAGACCAAAAGACACAGGAGACATAGTAGGGGCAGGTGAGGAAGACAAGCAGAGGGAACAGAACTTGGGGCCTGAAGGGGGGCAGTGGGAGCAGCAGAAGCCGATGGACTGACCCCGCCTCTCCCAAGGGGGTCAGGCTGGGCGGACAGAGGGCAGGGTGGGGGGACAGGCCCAGGAGCGCCCCCTCTTCCTTACTTCCTGGTCCCCACTTTCCCCGCCTCCTGGACGCGCAGCTCTGGACACGACACGGGGAGGGGCAGGCTAAGGAGGCGGGGTGGGCGTCTAGCAGGTGGGTGTCCTGTCCAGGAGGAAAGTGCTTCTCAGGCATCAGGGACCAGGCGAACCCCCCACTGGTGTGGAGTTAAGCGCCCAGGAGGGAGCCCTGAGGGCGGGGGAGCTCAGGCGGGCAGGGTTGGCAGAGCTGCAGGCTGGAAGCCCTCAAACCCCAGCCTGGAGGGGTGGGGAGGGGGAGTCCTCCAGGAAGGCCGCCTCCCCCACCCCAAGGGTGGCAGGTGCAGACAGGACTGGGAGGAGCCAGGTGAGGGGCCACAGGCCTCCTCCCAGGTCTGGGAGCCCCTGCCAGACTTGCCTGGAAGCCCCCGCGGGAGCAACCGCCCCTTTTCCCTCCTTCGCCAGGGAGGTCAGGTCGTACTTCAGGGCTCAGAACTGCTGCCTCAAGGGCCATGGCAGATAGGAACGGGAACTGGAATCAGAGCCCTGGGGAAGGGGATTATTGAAAGACAGTCCATGGGTCTCCGCGTTGTCAGGGCCGATGGAGCTGGATGGAGCTGTCAGGGCCTCGGCACCTCTAACTCTTGCTGCGGTGGGAGCAAGCCCAGCGGCGTGGGGGCCAGCAGAGCTGGGAGGAAGCCTGGGGGCACAGCCCCCGGCAGAAGACAGAAGACGGTCCCGCTCCCAGGGGCCCAGCGGCCGGGCCCGCGGGTGGGTGGGGCCCGGAGACTCCCCTCCCCTGCTGACTTCCTGCTGCAGCTCTGCTCTGGAGTTTCTTCAGGGGTTCACCCACCCCTAAGCCCACTGCTTTATCATATGTGTGGATCTTTGCTTGGCACTGGGGCCACAAAGATGAACGAGGCCCAGTTCCTGCATTCAAGTGCCTTCCTCCCCAGTGAGGACCGGCAGATGGGCGTGCTGAGGCGACAGCAGAAATTAGGGCCTGGGGCTTGTGCTGGCGGGACACGGCCTCTGCCGGCCCCCCACCCCCACCCCCACCACGCAGAGACCGGTAAACCCACTCAGGGGAAGTTGAACATTCAAAATATATTCCAGGGCCGCCTCCGGTGGCGCAGCGGTTGAGCGCTGGGCTGAGAAGCCGCCCGCGGCCTCTGCAGCGCTGGTTCGATCCCTGGCTGCCGCGAGGGTACAACATGGTGCTCAGACCTCTCCTGCCGCCCGCTGCTCCCCTCAGCAGTGTACTTCGGTCCTTCTGCCCCTCCCAAGAAGTGCCATTTGTGACCTAAGGGACACCTTCTTAAGCAACTATGGCCCCAAGCTCCATAGATTACAGATTCCTAAATGCAAACTAGACTGGAGAAGGTCAAGGTCCAAGCTCCCTGTGGCATTGCACTAGGAAAAGTTCCCAGGAGGAGATTTGGGCTCTGGGAAAAGGGTCAAAGTTCAAGAAGGAGCAGCAGCCTGGGCCCTGGGTAGGGTTGGGCCCCCAGAGCTGGGGATTCTTCCCTCATATCCCCACAGTGGTTTCTTTTGAATCAGATACTTGACTTGTGCAATTGTTGCAGATGCGCCCCCTTGGGGTCTTTACTATTTTTATCTCTTCCTAGCAGCAGTCATGTGTTCCCCTTGGCTCGACTTCCAGGGGATCCTGCAGAGCTTGCCCTGTGACACACCCGAGTCCAGTGTCCATGGTACCCAAATAAGCGCTTGTCACCTGCTCAGTCTCTCTCCTTGGCCCACCATACTCCACAGGCCCTTCATCCAGGCTTGTACTTCTTGCCAGACAACTATAAACTTGAACGGAGCCAGGGATACAGCAAGGAGCAGGACTGGTTCCTGCTCTCAAGTTGCCCACTGCATCCAAGGGAAGGGTGGCCTGGATGCCAGGGGGGGTGGTCATGGGGGCGCAATGCCCTTTGTAAAGGGAGCCCTCTGATGGCCACACACCCTAGTCTTTCCCCACCTTGGTCCTCACGGAGAACTAAACCACTTTATATGGCAGAGAAACACTAAAATGCCCCCAAAACCCTAGTGTGAGATATTTTGGGGGTCACAATAAGCTAGGTATCTTCTCAAGATATCATAGTTTTAAAGTAGATATTATTTAGGGTGCCTGATCCCTATATTCCTTTATGCTACAATGATTGGTGGGGACCAGGAAAAATCTTGGGGCTGTGTGTTGATAGTGGGGAGTACCCCTAAAATGCTGGGTACTGCAGGCTTATAAGGGGGTCTGGGCGTGCCATATGGGTTTATCAGGGATGAGAGTCAGATGCTTCTTGAGGCCAGCACAAGACTGGGGAAAAGGGAGCAGCGTCACCCCAAATAGCTAGGCGTTGGAAATGTGGAAGGTGGACACTCACAGGACTGGGATTGTGTCTGGAAGCTGACTCTTTGGTGTTCCTAGTCATAGGACAGGGGCCAGGGGCTGGTCCCAAGCAGGTGACAGCACAGATGACAATGTGGGAGGCATAGGAGGCTTCCAGAGGAGGTCAGGAAGAAGTGGGGAAGCACCAAGAGGGTGCTTTCTCAAAATAAGAAATGCCTCCGTGAAAAAAAAAAAAATTGTGGCTTATATTCAAACACATTTAAAAAAATAAAGGGACATTGAGAGGAAGAAAGGTGTCCACAAACCTTTGCCCCTGAGCTTGAAGGATGGATGGGCGGAGGTGGGCTGTGACTTTCTTGATGCCTCCACATTTTGCCCAGTCCCCAGTCCAGTCCTTGAGGAGGAAAGCAAAGGAGGGGCACTGGATCTGACTCAAACACCCAGAGGACATGGGTCTCTGGAGAGACAGGGATACAAATTCCGTGGTTACACCTACAGACAAAGGGGAAGGAAAGCACCGTGGAGAGAGAAGAAACCCACACATGAGAGGGAGATACAGTCCAAAGGCCAAGACAGTGAAGGTGTGAACCGGGCCCCCAATACCGAGCGCCCTGGTCCTAGAGGGGGAAAGACAGGGACAGACACCGAAATGGAAACAGCTGGCTATACTGTGCCCCAGGATGCCCATGTCCCAGGACTGGCTGCCCTTGTGCATTTCATGGTTCAAGTAGATAAAGAATGAGAAATGAGCATCTTTCAGGGGATAATGGAAAAGGGCTGGAAATCTGCAAGTTTCTGGTGATTCAGAGATAGGCTCGGTACTTGCTTCTTATTTAGTGGCTCATCTCTCTGATGACTAATTGTCCTGCTATATCTGACCTAAGACTGAGAACAGGACAAAAGAAACAGCAGATCACTGCCCTTTGAGTGGAACTAGGCACCACGTCTCCCAGGTAGCCATGGCCCCTGCACCCCATGCCGGGGGTCCTATGTGGAAGAAGTCTGTTGTGGATGGAACTTAAGAGTCACCCTGCCCTCGCTACTGCTTGCTGGAGCTGCCTTTCTGGAGCCAGAGACCCACAGACCTGTGCCCCAGGCTCCTGGGCACCTTTGGTAAAGCTCATCTCCAGCTTGGCCAAGCCTGGTGGCACCTCCAGACCTGGTGAAATCCTTGCTGAGCCAGTCCTAAGCTGGATGGGAGACACCTCACTTTCCTCCCTCGATCCTTCCTCCTCCTAACTGGCTCTTCTTTCCAAAGAGTCCTAAGGAAGTGTGTTTGCTTTCTTCCTCCCACCCCAAGCTCTTTTCTCAATATCCTGCATAAATAATGTTAAGTCCCCTGCTCCTCAGAAGCAGGAGGGCGGTGGCATTTGAATGGAGTTTTTTTGCAGAGAACATTTCATCTGAACCCCAAATGGTGGAGATATAGGTCAAGGATGGATACCTTTAGCTGGTGGCTGGTTATTTGCAAAAGAACCAGGTTCTGGTCTGGTTTCCATGGAATCCAAGCCTAAAGCCCTCCCATTTTACTCTCCTTCCAAAAACCTAGGCAGCCTCAAGAGGCCAAGAACTAGTGAAAGCTTTGAGTCACAGGCACAGGTCCCCAGGGGGAGGGAGTGGATTAGTTAGAAAATGCCCAGTTCACAAATAAATAAGCAAGGTGTCCTGACCTGAGGTCTTGAGACTAAGCCACAGTTCAATCTGATTCTAGTAAAGCTAGATTCTGATTCTAGTAAAGCGAGGTGTCTCCCATATAGCTTAGGACTGGCCTGGCAAGGATTTCACCAGGTCTGGAGATGCCACCAGGCTTGGCCAAGCTGGAGATGAGCTTTACCAATTTTTCAAAACAGGTAATCTCTAAAAGTC